CACTGGAAAGATAAATTTGTCAACCTTTAACAAAATGTCTTCAACAATTCCTTTAGGTCGTTTGATTGATCTATCAGCAAGCTGGAGCAACATGTTCGTCTCTTTCACTTCTCAAAGTCCTAGCTTCCTGAAAATTGATAAAGGCATTAAATTAATACTAGCACCTAAATCACACAATGTTTTATCAAAGAATGAATCTCCTAATGCACAAGGTATAGTAAAACTCCCTGGATCTCTCAGTTTAGGAGGTAATTTATTTTGCAGTATGGCACTGCATTCTTCAGTGAGCATAATTGTTCCATGCTCCTCGATCTTCCGCTTGTTAGAAAGGATGTCTTTTTAGAACTTTGCATAACTACGCATCTGTGGTAAGGTTTCAGCAAATGGAATATTTATTTGCAATCAATCTTCTTATTTAACGCCTGAATTTGTGCTGCCAAAGTCATGATAGCATCTATGTTATGAACACCTAACATTCTTCTCACAAGCAACCTCTCTATCGGCCATTGATAAGAGTTTGAAGCCATTTCCTCCAACAATTCATAAGCTTGTTCTGGTGTCTTCTTACCTAAAGTACCACCCGGAGCAGCATTGATCAAATTTCGAACTTCACTATTAAGACCATTATAGAACGTCTGGACTTGCAGCCAAATCGGTAGTTCATGGTGGGGACATCTCCGGAGCATGTCCTTGAACCTTTCCCATGCTTTGTATAGTGACTCTGTATCCACCTGCACAAACATAGTAATATCATTACGCAATTGTGCAGTCTTTGCAGGAGGAAAATACCTACTCAGGAATTGTAATGACTGCTTTATACTAGGGTACTCACTGAAGTATATCAAGTAGAATACATGTATATTTGCAAAAGTACATAGGCCCAAAACTGTCTTTTATTACATATAAACATTCTTTATACAAAATAGAACATCATTTACAAAATGCCATTAAAACAGCGGACAGTGTAGCTATTGCTCCTCGCTTGCCAACGCTCGTCTAACCGCGTTCTCACCTAGATCCTGCATCCACAAAGAAAACAACGGGGTGAGCACAAAATAATGCTCAATAAGTAAATCCTCTACGACTGTCCCCGTAACTTCTTTCTTTTAATTCTTTCCTTACACTTTTCTCATCTCATTTATTATTTTCTCTTNGATTACTCATACAAAACTGGTCAAGTATGAATGATGATATTAATGTAATGATGGCACATGAATTTTGACAGTTGGATACTAAACAACAACAAAAATAGAACAAACAGCCAAATACCACAACAACGGGAACAAGACGAGCAACAACACTAATAATTAGATAAACAACAACAGAAGAAACAGTAAACAAGAAAAACAACCACCACTAAATAAACAACAACTATTAAAACAAGAAGAGCAACAACTCTAACAATGAAACAAACAACAACATCAGCTGAATAATAGGATAAAAAACAATGATCGAAGAAACAATAAACAAAAAGAAGAAGAAGAAGAAGAAGAGTAGCAGAATGAAGAAGAGCAACAACACTAACAATCAAACAAAGAATAACAACAAGAACCAAATAAACAACAGCAGAAAAAGGAAGAGCAACAACACCAACAATCAAATAAACAGCAACAAGAAGAAGAAGAAGAAGAAACAAACAATAGAAACGAGAAGAACAACAACAAATAGAAGGAAAAACAAGACAATACCAACAAAATTAACAGCAGCAATAGCTAGAACAAACAATAATAATGATAAGAATATAACACTTGACATTTTTGTCTTGACTTCCTAGTTGGTGATCTCTTCATAAACAAGAAAAATAACCACCACTACATAAACAACTATTGGAAAAGGAAGAACAACAACTCTAACAATCAAATAAACAACAACATCAACAAAACAATAGGGTAAAAAACAACGATCGAAGAAACAATAAACAAGAAGAAGAAGAAGAAGAAGAACAACAACAATAGCAGAATGAAGAAGAACAAAAACACTAATAATCAAACAAATAATAACAACAACAACCACATAAACAACCGTAGAAACAAGAAGAGCAACAACACCAAGAATCAAATAAACAGCAACAGCAACAGCAACAACAACAACAACAACAACAACAACAACAACAACAGGAACTACAACAACAAGCAAACAACTGAAACGAGAAGAACAACAACAAACAAAAGGAAAAACAAGACAATACCAACCAAATTAACAACAACAATAGCCAGAACAAACAATAATAATTATAAGAATATAACACTTGACATTTTTTTCTTGACAATGTAGTATAATCTCCTGAAAAGTAATTAAAAAGAATTCATTTTTGTGACAATATGAAGTTTGGTGCCTTGCATAATACTTCACAAGATAAAGGGTAAACATAACCAAAACAAGTTAATAATCATTATAAATAATTAAAATATAAAAACAATTAATAAACCTATTGTTTTAAACTCTTCAAAAGTCATATGAAAAGAGACTTTCACCTTTTATATAGTACCGTTTTTGCCTTGACTTCCTAAAACTGGTGACTTCTTCATTCATTTACGATTGCAAAAAATGAATCCCTTTGTGATAACAAAACAAAACAAAACAAAAAAAAATTAGATGCTTATAACACCAAGATAAAAATATCAACATTATAAATAATATAGATGTAATGAATATAATAGATCTTTGACCTCTCTTCAAATGTTACCCTACCAAAAAAAAAAAAAAAAAAAAATACAACGTCATAGATTACTCAAAACAAGAATTTGGTGTTTTATATAGGTCTTTTGTATATTTTTTGTCTCCTCTCTAATGAAAGCTCACTTATCCAAAAAAAAGTTTGGTACCTTAGAAGAAGTAATGAAGATGAAAAAGAAAACAAATAACAAAATAACAGGTTAAATAATAAAAGATTTAAAAAAAAATACTAAACCTTACCTTCACTTTTTATATAGTACTTAACATTTTTGTCTTGATTTTCCAAAATTGGTGACCTCTTCATGCATTTACTATCTCAAAAAAAATGAATCACTTTATGATTACAAAAAAATAAAACCAATGTTATAGATTACACAAGGCGTGAATTTGTTGCTTTAGAGGAAGTAATCAAGATGATAACAAATACAAATGATAAAAAAACATTTAAAAAAATAAAATATTTCAATAATATACTAAACATTACCTTCACCATTTATGTAGTACTTAACCTTTTTGTCTTGACTTTCCAAAATTGATGACTTTTTCATGCATTTACTGTTGCAAAAAATGAATCCCTCTGTGATGGAAAAAAAAATATATTAGTTTTTTATAAACAACATAAATGCAATGAATATATTAGAACTCTGACCTCTCTTCAAACATTATTGTACCAAAAAAAAATAAAAAATAGTGTTATAGTTTACTTAAGGCGTGAATTTGGTGCCTTAGAGCAAGTAATCAAAATGATAACAAAAACAAATAATAAAATAACAATTTAAATAATAAAAGATTTCAAGAATATGCTGAATCTTACCTACACATTTTATATAGTACTTAAAGTTTTTGTCTTGACATCCCATAATTGGTGACCTCTCCATGCATTTATGATTGCTAAATATGAATCCCTTTGTGATGAAAAAAAAAAAAAAAAACAAAAGATACTTTATAACACCAAGATAAAAATATCACATTTAATAAATATATCATGTAACATACGAACCTTGGACCCTTTTCAAATGTTATCCTACAAAAAAAAAAAAAAAAAAAAAAAAAAAACAAATGTCATAGATTACACAGAAATGAATTTGTTGTCTTATATAGTCTTTTGTGCATTCCTTTTCCCCTCTCTAATGAAAGCTTACTTATCCAAAAAAAGTTTGGTGCCTTAGAGCAGTATGAAGATGATAAGAACAACTCTAATAAAATAACAATTTATATAATAAAAGATTCAAAAAATATACTAAACCTTACCTTTACCTTTTATATAACACTTAGCTTTTTTGTCTTGATTTCCTGAAATTGGTGACCTCTTTATGCATTTACTATTGCAAAAAATGAATCACTTTACGATAAAAAAAAAAAAAATATATATATAGATGATTATAAAACCAAGATAAAAATATAAACATTATAAAAACAAATATGTTATGAATATATTATACCTCCGACCTCTCTTTAAATGTTACCTTATAAAAAAAAAAAAAAAACCAATATTATAGATTACTCAAGGCGTGAATTTGTTGCCTTAGAGCAAGTAATCTTGATCATAACAAAAACAAATAATAAAGTAAAAGTTTACAAAATAAAAAATTTCAAGAATATACTAAACGTTACCTTCACTATTTATATAGTAATTAACCTTTTTGTCTCGACTTCTCAAACTTGGCAACTTTTTCATGCATTTATGTTGAAAAAAATGAATCCCTTTGTGATTAAAAAAATATTAGTTGTTTATAACACCAAGATAAAAATATAAACATTATAAACAATATTAACGTAATATATTAGACCCCTAACCTCTCTTCAAATGTTATCCCACCAAAAGAAAAAAACAATGTCATAGATTACTTAAGGCGTGAATTTGGTACCTCAGAGCAAGTAATCAAAATGATAACAAAAATAAATAATAAAATAACAGTTTAAATAATAAAATATTTCAAGAATATGCTAAACCTTACTTTTACCTTTTATATTGTATTTAACCTTTTTGTCTTGTCTTGCCAAAAGTGGTGACATCTTCATGCATTTACTATTGCAAAGCAAGAATCCATTTTTGGTGACCAAAAAAAATTAAATGCTTATAACACCAAGATAAAAATATCAACATTGAAAATAATATAGCTGTCATAAATATTTTATACTTCTAACCTCTCTTCAAACATTACCCTACAAACACAAGTAAAAAAAAATATAATAGATTACTCAAGGTGTGAATTAGATGCCTCAGGGCAAGTAATCAAGATAATAACAAAAACAAATAATAAAATTATTAAAAATTTCAAGAGTATAATAAACCTTAACTTCACATTTTATATAGAATATAACCTTTCAGTCTTGACTTCCCAGAATTAGTGACCTCTTCATGCATTTACTATTGCAAAAAATGAATCCCTTTGTGATGACAAAAAAAAAAAAAATTAGATGCTTATAACACCAAGACAAAAATATCAACATTATAAATAATATAAACGCCATTAATATTTTAGATCTCTAACCTCTCTTTAAATGTCACCCTACAAAAACAAATCCAAAAAAAAAAAAAAAATGTCAATTACTCAAGGTGCAAATTTTGTGCCTTAGAACAAGCAAGCAAGCAAGAGTATAACAAAATCAAATAATAAAATAACTGTTTAAATAATAAAAGATTTCAAGAATATACTAAACCTTACCTTCACCTTTTATATAATACTTAACTTTTTTGTATTAACTTCCCAATATTGGTGACCTCTCCATGTATTTACTGTTGCAAAAAAATGAATCCCTTTGTGACGACCAAAAAAGAAAAATTATATGCTTATAGCACCAAGATAAAAATAACAACATTATAAAAATAATAGGCGTCATGAATATATTAGACCTCTTACCTCCCTTCAAACGTTACCCTACAAAAACAAATCCAACAAACAATAATGTCATAGATTTCTCAAGGCGTGAGTTTGGTGCCTTTATCTTCACAACTTCAAACTCTACACAAAGAACATATTTTGTCGTAGATTACTTAAAGCGTAAACTCGCTATCTCTCCCTTTCAAGTTAGAAAAATAATAATACTCAAATAAAATAGACAAAAGGAGTTATGTCATCCAAAATCAAAATATCAACATAAGCTGGTTCTTATGAGATTACTCATACAAAATTGGTCAAGTATGAATTATGATATTAATGTAATGATGGCACATGAATTTTGATAGTTAGATACTAAACAACAACAAAAACAGAACAAACAGCAAAATACCACAACAACATAAACAAGAAAAGCAACAACAATAACAATCAGATAAACAACAACAGAAGAAACAATAAATAGGAAAAACAACCACCACTAAATAAACAACTATTGAAACAAGAAGATCAACAACTCTAACAATCTAATAAACAACAACATCAAAAGAACAACAGGATAAAAAACAACAATCGAAGAAACAATAAACAAGAAGAAGATGATGATCAACAACAACAACACCAGTAGCATAATGAAGAAGAGAGCAACAACACTAATAATCAAACAAATAATAACAACAACAACCAAAACAACAGTAGAAACAAGAAGAGCAACAACACCAACAATAAAATAAACAGCAGCAGAAACAAGAAGAGCAACAAAACCACCAATCAAATAAACAGCAACAAAAACAAGAAGCAAGCAATAGAAACGAGAAGAACAATAACAAACAAAAGGGGACACAAGACAATACCAACCAAATTAACAACAACAATAGCTACAACAAACAATAATAATTATAAGAATATAACACTTCGANTAAATAAACAACAACCATTGAAACAAGAAGAACAACAACTCTAACAATGAAACAAACAACAACATCAACTGAACAATAGGATAAAAAACAATGATCGAAGAAACAATAAACAAGAAGAAGAAGAAGAAGAACAAGAGTAGCAGAATGAAGAAGAGCAACAACACTAATAATCAAACAAATAATAACAACAACAACCAAATAAACAACAGCAGAAACAAGAAGAGCAACAACACCAACAATCAAATAAACAACAACAGAAACAAGAAGAACAACAACACCAACAATCAAATAAACAACAAGAAAAACAAGAAGCAAAGAATAGAAACGAGAAGAACAATAATAAACAAAAGGAGACACAAGACAATACCAACCAAATTAACAACAACAATAGCTAGAAGAAACAATAATAATTATAAGAATATAACACTTGACATTTTTGTCTTGACTTCCTAGTTGATGACCTCTTCATAAACAAGAAAAACAACCACCACTAAATAAACAACAACTATTGAAACAAGAAGAACAACAACTCTAACAATCAAATAAACAATAACATCAAGAGAACAATAGGATAAAAAACAACGATCAAAGTAATAATAAACAAGAAGAAGAAGAAGAATAACAACAACAACAGTAGCAGAATGAAGAAGAACAACAACACTAATAATCAAACAAATAATAACAACAAAAACCAAATAAACAATAGTAGAAACAAGAAGAGCAACAACACTAACAATCAAATAAACAGCAACATCAACATCAACAACAACAACAATAACAACAAAAATAACAATAACAAGCAAACAATAGAAACGAGAAGAACAACATCAAACAAAAGGAGAAACAAGCCAATACCAACCAAATTAACAACAACAATAACCAGAACAAACTATAATAATTATAAGAATACAACACTTGAAATTGTTTTCTTGACACCCTAATATAATCTCCTGCAAAAGTAATTAAAAAGAATTCATTTTTGAGACAATATGAAGTTTGGTGCCTTGCATAAGAATGCACAAGATAAAGGATAAACATAACCAAAACAAGTTAATAATCATTATAAATAAACCTATTGTTTTAAACTCTTCAAAAGTCGCATGAAAAGAGACTTTCACCTTTCATATAGTACCTTTTTTGCCTTGACTTCCCAAAACTGGTGACTTCCTCATGCATTTACGATTGCAAAAAATGAATCCCTTTGTGATGACAAAACAAAAATAATAATAATAATAATTAGATGCTTATAACCCCAAGGTAAAAATATCAGTATTATAAATAATATAGATGTAATGAATATAATAGACCTTTGACCTCNTTCTCTGTTCCAAACAAAATTAGTAATCGAGTAATTCACACTGTTTTAAAAACCGGACCGGCCTAGCCCGATCAAGTTTCTGGTTCGAGTCACCATCAAACCCGTAATTACATATTAACCTGCTTTAAACCGTTTGAAAACCGGATATAATGAGTGAACCGTCAGTCCAACCGGACTGGCGGAAAAACCGGTCAAATGTGAAAAAGCCCTAACTCTACACAATCGCAATCGCAAGCCCATTCATTCTGAAATCTAAATCTAATTTCATCTCTGTTTCTCATATTGCTCAGCTTCTTCTCCTACGCAAATTCCTCTTTCAAATCGCACTCAAATCGCAACCATTCACCAAATTGCAAGTTCGCAACTGAACTCTCTCAAATCGACGTCGACAGCTCCATTCCCTGCTGGAAATCAACGACGACGATGGCTGCTCCATTCCTCGCTAGAAATCAACGATGACGACAGCAGCTCTATTCCTGGACGACGACAATTCCGTTCCTCGTTGGAAATCGATGGCGACAACTCCATTCGTCAACGACAGCTCCATTCCTCGACGATCCAGGTAATAAACACGCCATTTACAGGTTCATCTTCAATAATGATTTCGTTTTGAATGCTTAAATGTGATTCTTTTGTTTGCAATAATTTTTACTGTTAACCGGCAACAACAATTGAACCATTTACACGCCATTCACAGGTTCATCTCTAATACGTATTAGAATTTTTGAGAAACTCTGGTTCAACCATCTAGCAAGAGGAATGCTTGCTTGCTTGCTGAATTAAATGTTGATGAACTTTTTATGCGTATTTGCATTTTGCTGACGGTAGTTTGTTTCCAAAGAATGTTGGTGCTCAATGAAATAGAATCCTTTATATTTACTTTTTCTGCGGAATTAAATGTTGATGAACTTTTTCTGCGTATTTGCATTTTGCTGAAGGTAGTTTGTTTCGAAGAACGTTGGCGCTCAATGAAATAGAATCTCTTATATTTACTCTGTTATATCACCGGAATGCATGCATTTTTCTGCGTTTATTTTGCCAGTATTAAACTAAATTTGATCCCAAAATGTGGAGGCTATTTTTCCTGTATCACCGGAGTCATGATGAAAACTAGTATACATATATATGGAGGCTATTTTTCTGGTGAATTCTAAATCGGGGTTTGTTAGTTTAAGATTTAAACATGGGGTCTAGTTAATAAATTCGACTGAACCAAAAGAAAAGTGATTATAATTTGCCGAAAATGTGTAATCCACCATTATCATTTTAAACAAATGGTTGCATAAAAAAGCAATATCATGTTTGGACTTTAGAACTTTGGATTTGGACTTTAGAAATTGTTGTTAAATACTTAAATTATGTTGAGATTATTATTGAATTTGAATTTTGAATCATGTTGAACAGTAATTAAGTTGGTATTGTCTTATTAAAAAATATAAATCTTTAAAAAAGAAAAAAGAAAAAAAAACAGATTTTTTTGTTAATGTGCTGACATCATCATACTGTATAATGACATCACCAGTTGGGCCGGTTTAATTCAGACAATTGAAAAACAGTCGTCGAGATGGAGTCATTTTCAAAATCAGATTTCACAAGTCTGCATTTATGAAGCTTTAAATGCATAAAACAAACATTCCCACTAATTTAAAACTATTGCTCAAGTAAAAAAGGTGTAGAATAGCTCAAATGGAGACGAAAAGAGATGACAGACAGGAATATAAATTAACCCAATTCGGAATACAACACAACTTCCAAAGTTGAAATCGTAAGACACTAGATACAAAGGACATAAATTTCAGTAAACCATTTTAATCTGGTATTCTCTCCCTTTCCCATGTGTGTAGAAACCCATCAAGGTTAAAAACAATCCCAGTCAATATATCTCCAAATGAAAGACCCTGCTTACCCTTCTCTCAAAGTAGATGGTTTCTGAAAAACATGTTAATCACCATAAATCTTCTCCCCTTAAGAGAGGCAGTTTCTGCATAATACTGGAAATTGATGGTAAAATTACCATTTGGGTCAGCCAAAAGCAATCTGAAATACAATTCCAGTGGATATCAAAGTCGTGTAACGAAGCAGAATTTACCAGAAATAGACATCACTCATGGCTGGTCCTCATCAGACCTTGACTGTGTCAAACGCCGCCGTCTTCTTGGGACTGGAGATGCATCTTCACCTGCATCACTCAATATATGCAGGTCGTCATCATCATTATCATCTTGTAGACCCAAAAGATTCTCACCCCACAGGAACCGACGACGCTCGGATAAAGCTCCCGCAGAACGCCGGTGCCTTGTCCAAGCCCTTGACCTAGCCCTTGATTCGCCAGCACTGTCAATTGAACCAATCATGTGAAACAAAAAGAAAGTAGTCCACCATGGTCCATTAACTTCACCGGTGTCACTTTCTCTTCCAGCCGATAATCTTTCTCCATTCTCAATTACATAGTCCCCAACTACAACAGCACCTGGCATGGATGAGCGAATGGCACTGACAATATCACCATATTCTCGTTGGTGCTCAAGGCGTTGCCAGGCTCGTTCTCTAGACGGGTCAGTGTCTGAGGGTCGGGTTGTTGGGTGAACCCTCCTAGCATGTCGACGTAATTCCTGGTAATTACCAACAAAGGAGCATGATTCCCTGGAACAAGATCGCTTCTTCAAGTTAAGATATTTTCGGGCCTCTTCTACAACCTCCCAGCCTTGAATGGCTCCTCGGCACATGGGGCATGTCAAATTCAAGCTTGATTCTAATGAACTATCCACATCTACCTCTTCAAGTTCAATCCTCTCACGCAAGGACACAGAGTCCCCCATTTCCAAATTCAGATTACCTTCTCCTTGAATTTCTAAATGCCTACCTACATTTTCAATATTATTTTCGCCTGGTTGTTCAGAAAATCCAACAGGTGAACCATTGCTTCCATTAGGATTGTGATTTCCATTACTTTCAATGAAATGAGTTCTCAAAGCCAAGTTCACATCATAAGTATTACTAGCATTATAAGAGTTTATAGGTGAAGAATGAGGTAAAGTCACACTGCTAGAACTCTCCCTTAATTTTTTAAACCGGTCCAAACAATTTGAATGCCGGTAACTTGTATCACAAACGAAAGATCTGCAACCCTTCTCATGTGAGCTGCAGAGGAGGAGAACAGCATTATGTGGATGGTCCATGCAGATAGGACATGAGACCTCATCCAATTCTTTGTGAAGAGCATGAATATCTGAATCAGTATACATTCTTCGTTTCACACCAGCCATCTTGCATGCACTGTTTTAAGTTACTAAACATATTGAATTTATCAGAACACCAGTACCACTAAACATAGTTCATTCATCAAAAATATCAACCAAATGCTGGACATCAAAACTTGCAATTGAACCACATATTTAACAGTACCAATCTCACAAGTCTAAATGAAATGGAATGCACAAAATCATTACTTACTCATGAGATGTTGGGTTCAAAATGGTAAAACAAATGTCACTCTAATTGAAAACAAATATATTGACGGGTAAAAGAGAACCAAATAACAAAGATAATCACAGGAGATGTGGAGCAGAGAGAGAGACTTTTTCTTTGACCAACTTCTATTCAACATCAACTTATTACTTCCCTCTTCTTGATCTTAAAACAACATAAAAGGTATGCAATCTATAACACCATAATTCACTAGCCCCAATCAATATTGAATCAGATTATGTCTCACTGTTTTTGTTATTTGTGCATAGATTATACTAAAAACTTCTGTTTAGGTAATTGTCCCCATTTCAGCAAGGATTCTGTCTTTATAGTGGACATTATTCTTCTCTTTACTCTCAACATAATTCTTCATGCTTCCTATTTTAAAATAATAAATTCAAATCAGATAATTTGGTTCAGCAAGCAGTCCATGTAAAGAATAAACCTATTTGCTTTGAATTTGTCATGATTAGCCTTTTCTAAAGCCTAATCCAAGCCCAAAACCAGAAAAGAAAGCTGCAACATAATGATTTTTATTAAACTATATTGAGTTAGGAAATTGATCCAACCAGTTGTAATACGACTTCTCTGACATAAGTTATCTACAATTAACTAAGCAAGGAGTAGCTGGATAGCCACTTCAGAATCATCATTTAAGCATCAGCACTACTTCAATCATAAAAGCAATAAGGCCCACAGTACATCATCAAATTTGCCATAAAATAATTCAGTTTAGACACAGTACCCCACAAATTCTTCACATGAAAACCCTGGAAATTGAAATCCAACTAGTGTCAATCAAAGAGTATTATTCTATCAATTTCAAAGTGTCAGCAGTTCTATTTCTTGAATTATTTCTATGATTGTCTCAATACCATCTTACTAAGACCAACATCTTCTATCTAGAACAAAAATAAGAAGAATCAGCATTCCAAACATGAACTAGCCTTATCAAGGAGAAAGGCCTACAACTGCTACCATAAGTACGACTAAGCAAAACTAAAAAACCTCATCTAAACGCATCTGTACGTTTGAGATGCATAAGAAATATTTTACCATGATTGGATCATTCTAGAATTGCGTATGTAAGCAATCAGTGGAATGAGAAAGAAACCCCATAACCCACATTGAATTTTAATGCTGCCCAGTCCTTCCTTCTTGCTCAAGCCAATCCCTAACAGACTCATAGTCCATCAAGCAATCGCAATAAATCCATCAATTCAAATAATAGCTTTCTTAACTTTCAGGCATAACCTTCCAATGAAACTTCAGTATACAAGGTCAAAGTGAAATGATTCCATTGAATAGGACAACTATACATATATGTATTGCAACCATTAACAATCTAACTAATAAACAACACTAATGTGAGATATGAAACATTGTTAAACATGAATTAAACAAAATGAAGTCAGCAAGGGAATCCATTGTACAATAATGTGATTTGAAATGAAGCTAATAATGTGTTTTCAATAATTGCATGTACACTTACCACAAGCACTCTATACAGATTTCCTACCGCAACCTTCTGAATCTCTATGCGCTACAATTGAAACTATGAAATCTTTATACTTTGTGATCACAAGGCAAACACTCATGCAGTGCTCCAAAGTATGTGACAAACAGTTCAGAAATAACTAGTTCTACAAAGCTGAAGGATTAAAGACTTGAATAAACAAGTTATAACTACGTCCTCAGCCACAAGATCGTGAATGAGTCCAAAAACCTGCAGTTGAACCAGAAAGCAGAAGCGATTGTTACAAAGAAAACATTTCATTTTCAAATTTGTAGTCATTAAAAGAATAGAATAGACACCTACAAAAGAACTGACCAGTATACACTGAATGTAACAACAAAAAATTATAAAACAACACACAAAACGGGCATAAATAAATCGATTCAGTTTCCTTTTATATGCATTTCTCAAAACTCAACCAAAGCTACTTAAAGATAAATGAACTAGTTAATACAAGACAACAAACCTATAATATACAAATCAGACCAGATAACCCAGAAGATCAAATTACAAACATAAAATCCTCCTCCACTAAGGCTGTATATAATCTAAAATCAATGATCTGCCAATCGTTTCATATTCCACTCTTATCCAAGACTTGATTCTAAAATGATCACAACAAAATTATAAACCATAAACCCATTTTCAGGAAACCATTATAGCAATTAACCCTAGCATAAACTGGAAGTTTTCATTGCCGTTTCGTTTTTGTTATTGTAATTGTAATGAAACACAAATTTAAATACAACATATGATCATCAAAAACATTAACCAGAAAATTTAAAAATATTTTCTGATTTCAAATTTGCGCGTGTTTTAAAGTAAAATTCAACATCTTTAACTCATAACCTAAATCATCACCAACCACATAAACATAAAAAAAAATTCTAAAAATGAACGGATAAATTAATAATAAATGAAGATAATATACCTAACAATTGGATAAGAAATCAGAAGTAAGAAGATCAATTCGAAAAAATGGAAGGCGTTAAAATTAACGCGATGGGAGGAGAAATTACAGGAGATTGAAATTCCAATGGATGTAGATTGGATTTTTTTATGTATAGAGAGGTTGCGTGAAGGAGTTGTTTTATATATATAGGCGGTGTGAGTCTGTGAGAATCGGGAGGTTTTAATTAAATAAAATAAAATAAAAATATGAAGTAATAAGGGGGAAATGGAAATGGAAATTGAAATGAAATGCACTTTTTGAAAGGTCATTTTGGTAGTCAAGATCATTGAGGTATTGATCGGATGCAACCGCCTTCTTGTAGGTGTCGTACCGGTGGATGACTTACACGTGGATTATCTTCTGTCGATGAACATGAGCTTTTACTGTTAACTGTTGGAGCCTAGATTATTAGTTACTTACTGGATTTTAACTCATTTAGATCCGCTCACAACTTTTTAGAGAAGATTTAGCTGTCCGACCTTCCCAAATTTCTATTTAACAAAATGGCCTTGAAAATATTTTTTATTTTTTTTTTTAATTTAGAGAAGCTGGCGTAACATAGTTAAGATTCATTAAAAGGTTAAAATGAAAAGATTAAAACATATGTGGGCCAAATCATAAATAATTAAAGTTTTTAAAATTTGAAATTTAAAAATGAGCCTTACTTATTCACCTCGCTTAATCGAAACTCATTAGGGCAAAACGCGATTTCTTAAACCTAATGGAGACTGTACGATTTCTGATCGAACTTGCAAATTTACACACCATATTCAATCCTAAAATCAATTTCTTGAACCCTAAACGGAATACAATCGCGATTTCCGATCGATTTCTTGAACCCTAAAATCAATTTCTTGAATGCTAAACGGAATCTATGCAATTTTCGACGTTACAGTCCACATTTTCGATCGAAACTGCAAATTTTGACACCAAATTCAATCCTAAACCATGGCTGACATTCACAATGAGGAGGAAAACCTAACACCACTTCGAATCCTAGAGTCTGGTGGCGCAAGCAGTTCAATGGCTGCTCCGGTGGATAATCCGATCAGTGAAGGTGGTCAACAGGCAGAGGAGACGATGGCGGCACAACAACAGAGAGAAGAATTGCAAAACGGTTTTGAAGAGGAGGAGGCAAGCGAGAATTCAGGCGACGAGGAGGAGTTTGAAGAGAATTCAGGCCAGGAGGCCGGCGAGGATTCAGGTGACGAGGAGGAGGCCGGCGAGAATGCAGGCAACGAGGAGGCCGGCGAAGAAGGAGTACGTATTTGTTTTGGGAGTATTGCTCTGTACTGTCGCTTAAGCGATCATTTGTATCACGTAAGCTGTTAATCTCTTTTTCATGGTCGCTTAAGCGATCCTTTGTATCGCTTAAGCTATTCATTCAGTTTACTCTTGGTCACTTAAGCGATTTCAGATCGCTTAAGTGATCTTGTCCGAGGTAGAATCATCTGCCTAGATCTAAGATCGCTTAAGCGATCTTTTGTATCGCTTAAGCGATTATTTCAGTTTACTCTTGGTCACTTACGAGATTTCAGATCGCTCAAGAGATCTTGCACGAGGCAGAATCAAGATCTCTTAAGCAATCCGAAATCGCTTAAGCGACCACAGAGGTGCTGATATTTTGTTTATTAGTTGTTTTGGTTTATTTTTGTTGCTGACATTTTGTTTATATCGATTGTGCAGGTTGTGCGGACCATAAACTTTAGAGACTACGGGTTAAAGCTTGTAAGCGATAATGTACCGTACTTCCCTGTAAGGGTGACGGTCAGGTCGAGTTGGGATGTTTTTGACAGAATAAAGGAGATTATAGGTGGAATGAGGAATGGTGAAAGACGATTCAGAGAGACTTGTTTCAGTCAGTTTTTAAGAATCGGAGCAAATTGAAAAAATGCATTCTAGGACAAGGAGTGCATTATATGTTGCTGCACTTAGTAAAATGCAAAAAAAAAAAAAAAAAAAAAATAAAGAAATGTGGTTCGTGGTGGACGAAAAGCCACTACGTTTTGGGATGATGGAAAATGTCTTGGTGACAGGAGAGGCTAGAAACAGTTCAGTTTAATGATCAAGAGAAGTTAAAAGTGTGCTTGATATTGTTCTTACATTCGATCCTATTGGCTGGTGACTCAACAAAAGCTGTTGAGATGGATTGGTTGTTGTTTGCAAGCGACTTGAACTTCTTTAATTCTTATCGTTGGGGGGGGGGGGGGGGGAGCCTCTATTACAGGACGCGTTTAGAGAAGAGGCTAGAAATAGTTCGGTTTAATGATCGAGAGAAGTTAAAAGTGTGCTTGATATTGTTCTTACATCGATCTAGGTGGTGACTCAACAAAAGCTGTTGAGATGGATTGGCTGTTGTTTGCAAGCGTTGAACTTCTTAATTCTTATCCGTGGGGACGGGTATCATTTGGCGAACCATGCACTCCCTACAAGCAAAAGCATGGCGTTAAAGCAGTCCAATGGGTCAGGAAGGATAAACCAAGCACGTACCATTTGTTTGGCTTCCCATGGGCAAGCAGGTAAATATTAATAGTTTTTTGTTATATTTTTTGTAATATATGTGTTTGAATTATGATATGGATTATTTTTTTACAATGTAAGCTTGGATGTATGAAGCCATCCCTGTCTTCGCTAAGGGGGAAGGGGGGGAAGGGGGGGGGGGGGGGGGGGGGGGGGGGGAGGAGCAATAATTTAGAAGCAACAATTTAGATGTGCAACAGCAATTTCCTAGGATGTTGTGGTGGCATGTCGAGAGGTGTACCCATTGGGATTACGACCAAATAGACATTGAGATTGAAGCGGCTGGGGTAAGATTAAAGGATTAAGCTTTTGAATACGCAGTTGCTTTAAAATGCCGCTTCAATTTGATTGATTTTGTTTCTTATTGCACGGAGTTGTCCATCCCTTTCTCACCGCTACTGGGGATGAAGTGGAAAAGGACTATGTCACATCTTTCGAAGCACTATAGGATGAAAAGGATGAACGGATAGACCGCCTGATGCGGGGCCTGTAAGGGGTCACACATGTGACAGCAGTTGCAGGACCACTGCTTGATAATGTGGTTGATGCTGATGATGATGAAGCTCCAATCAACGGGAGGGACGAGGAGGAGGAGAAGAGGGAGGAAGAGGTTTGTATGCCTCAGCAAACCGGTACAACAAGTACCGCTTTGCCGAGACATCGACGTCAGGAGAATGAGGTGGTTGACCTCATAAACGGCCTGTTTCAGAGTTTTACAACAGCCGTTTATGATAGGTTTGACAAGATGGAAGAGTATATGAAAATGGTAGAGGAGAAAGTGGATAAGATGGCAGAGAAAGTTGGTACAGTGGAGGAGGAAGTTGGTGGAGTATTAAAGGCGGTTGAAGTGCAACCTGGAGTGAAAAGAGAAAGCCGAAAGAGCAAGTTTATCAAATCGCCTTACACGGTAGTGACACATGTAAAGAAGAGGAAAATTAAGAAACAAGTGGAGGAAAAAGCAAAAATGGAGGAGGTTAAGGAGGTTGGTGGAGGAAGTGGGGTAGTGATAATGGAGGAGGGTGAGGTAGGAAGCGAAGGAAGTGGGGATGTACAAATGGAGGAAGAGAGAGGAAGTGGGCAAGCGAAAATGGACTCAAAGGTCGATTTGTATAGGCCAATAGAGGAGGAAAAGAAAAAACTCTTCTATGCTTATTACAATGATTCAGGAAGTGATGCCCATATAAAGTGTAAGACAGGGGATTATCATCAGGAATGGTTTAAAAAGTTGTTGACGATAGGCAGGTGGCTTGAGGACTTTGTGAGTTATTTTCGCTTAATTTTCCTTATTTTTGCTTATGTTTTCCATACTTATCTTGTTGTTTTTATTTGATGCAACACATCGATGAGATATTGGCACTGATGAGGCTACGACAGACCAGTAATGGTGATCTATTGTATCCCGACTATGCCATCACTGATGTGGCGTTTGGCCAAACGCTTGTTTCGACATATCACACTTTAATTAAAAATGTCGTTGGTAAATATGTAACAAAAGGAGCGAAGCGAAAAAGATTGGCCCTAGAACAGTTGGACTGCATCCCTGATGATTTTAAGTTTGATGACAGGATTATGCAGTATGTATGAGGGGGAAAAACCCAAATATGGCCACGATTGGGCAATGGTTAAAAGAGTCTATTGCATCATCAACGTCAGAGAGATGTACTGGATAGCAGTCGTCGCGCATCTAGAGGAGGGGTTGCTGAAGATCCTTGACTGCAACCCAACTATTTGTCGAGACAAACAGTCGGACATCGAGTTGAAGCTACTATCCAAGTTGTTCCCGCGGTTGTTGCGTGACAGGGAGATGTTTGGGCACTTTGATGATCAAGTACTAACAAAAAAGTGGCCACTTAAGCGCTCTACCATCCCAATAAATGAGTCAAGGTAAATTTTGTATAAAACTAACTTACATAATACAATTGTTCTATAAGTTTATTCTAATGCTAATGTCTTCTTCCTACTGTAGTGCTGAATATGGGGCATATGCCCCGCAATTTATTCAGTTCGACATGACCAGCACCCCGATGGACGGCTTGAATGACGAAACAATGAGTAACTATCAGGAGCGCTGGGCTATTGAGTGCTTCCATGGGCATATGGATCCGTTTTGAGTGACTAGAACCTAATCAAAAGGTATAAAAGTTGGACTTTGAATTTTGTAGTTTATGTGATATTGATGTTGATACTTGGGTTATGGTGTTGATGCTGCAGGTGTCATGCTTATATGGAGCTTTACCGAAAGAGACGGACTAAGTGAACTTCTTAATCTCGCACTCTATAACTTTTTTACGCGTTTTTTTTTTAATTTACAAAAGCTGATGTGTCTACAGGTGTGTGCGGTATAATTTTACAAGTTCCTGGCAAACAATGAGAGGAAACTTCTCAAAGGCTAGTTGGCAAGAGGAGGCATCTGCAATAAAGGCTGCTGGGAAGGCATGGTTCCAAACAATGATCTTAGACAAGTTCCTGGCAAACAGAATTCGAAAACTTCTCAAAGGCTAGTTGGCAGGAGGAGGCATCTGCAATCAAGGCTACTGACAAGGCATGGTATCAAACAATGATCTCAGACAGGTTCTTGGCAAACAGAATTAAAAAACTTCTCAAAGACTGGTTGGCAAGAGGAGGCATCTGTAATAAAGGCTACTGGGAAGGC